TCACAGGCCTCCAGCCAGGTAATAATTAGTGTTGGCTTCATGCTTCTCATAAGGCTGATTAATCACTTTATTGCACTACACTTATTAAGAAACTCATCCCCCTCACAGACAGCCAGGACACAGGTGGAACCAATTGGCCCTGAAATCCAAGCACCATCAGCACTGGCCAATCAAGAAACCACCCTTTGGTAACCAAATCTCCATAACACATTCCCCTGTTCACAACAGGTGCAGCCAGTTAAGGTAATAATGGTTGATCATTCTTTTCTCTGATCTCTTGACAGCCTTCCCCAGGACAATCCTGAGAAAGTTGTGCCTGCTGCTCTCTGTGGCCAGAGAGCTGCTGCCACAGGTTTGTGCTGTCCTAGGAACTCTGAAACCTGAGGCCAAAGTCCTGACATGCAGCACACTGGTGCAACCCAGCAGCTGAAGATTGGAGATGCAGCTCCAGCAGAGTGGAGCACAGAGAGCTCTGTTATCTGCCTTGCTTTTACATATTAATAGAATGGGAAGAGCCTGCTTATCTGGCAGCAAACAGGAAGAAAAGCAAGGCAGAACTTCACTACTCCTTGAAGGGGCACCACAGTTGCCATCTAAGTGGTTCTAATAGAACCTGCTGAACTGAGACAGCTTTTAGGAATACCCATTTCTTAGCTGCCAAGTCACTAAAAGCCGAGTCAATAACTCCCAATGGGTCACAGCACAAATATTACATGTGCTAAGAAAACCCTTTTTGAAGTTTTGATTCTCAGACACAGAAAGCAGGACCCAACATATCACCTAAACTAACAGTTTAGATTGAAGGATTGAGTCTCAGGGGGTACACAAAGTGGGGTTTAATTGCCATAACTGCAGAAGCATTTCCATGTTTTCACTTGTCTACTATAACAAACCCCCCTTGCTTAGCACTAAGGGCTGTGGTCAGGCCCTGTGTAAGGATATTTTTAGAGGTTAGAGCTGTAGCCAAAACCCATTGTAATTCACCAGTACCAACCTTCCCTCCAAGGTAATATTTGAGAAATAGGACAGCACAACTGCTGGAATGGCTCTGTGTTTTGGGAGACACCATCTTGTGAATGAAATATGCAACTGGAAGATGGTTTTTGACTTCATAGCCAAAAATGATGGCCTGAAACTGTGGGGAGCAAGCATCAGCCTGCTCACAAAGTGCTCATCAGTAGAAATAATTATACAGAGTAATTGACAATTGAGTTTCTGTAACATTTTTAAAGCATTTTTACAACTCTGATATAATAAAAGAACCACAGGACTTCTCTAGAACTCTCAAATAACAAGACCAACATGATAGAACAGGGAGATACTTGGTCAGAATTTAAGCATAATCTGCAATGTTTTATCAACACACTTGTGTGAGCAAGACTTGTCTATTTTCCTGAAGCTGTTAAATTTCTTTTGCTTTCAATACCTGGGTGCTGCCTTTCAAGCTGTGCATGGAGCCCTCTTCTGGAGAAATTTGAACAAATAAAAGCTTAAGAATGCAGCAGTGTGAGCTCAGCATTAGGGGAAAGAGTTTGAGGACTAATTTTCTCTATTCACTCTAATGACAAGCTTGTAAAATCTACACATTTTTCCAATTTACTTGGTTGCAACCCAGTGAAACGTGACAGTTATTGTTAAAATTATAAAAAATATGGGAGCTTTTCCTCACCCTGTAAGCTTTACTTACAAATTTTGAGTCATCTCTCTGCATGAAATGCATAACATAAAAAAGGAAGCCTGTCAACAACTTTTTTCTTAAAACAAATACTTGTATATAGATTTAGAAAATACCCTTTGGGGAAAATGTAAAAGACACAGATTTTGAATTCTATCAGATCAGAGTATGCATTTACTGCTTACTGTACCCTGTATAGTGAACTGCATAAGCTACCAGAGTACATTTAGTTTTTATTGTCAGCTTCAGATCAATAAAGCTGTATATTATACTCATGCTTTGGAGTTTTAAAGGCAAGTCTGAATTAAAGGATTACTTGAAACATCTCTCTCATTTATTCCAGCTAATGCTCAGTTTTCTTTTTGGTGAAAACAGAACAGTTGGTAGTAGTGTAGACTAAATCTTTGCAAAAGGAAAAATTAATTTATTGCTCACCTGTTTACCTCAGTTTTTGCATACATACTTAATGAGCTGCTTTGATATGAAAAAGTGCTTCTCCATTTTCATCCTTTTAATGCCTCAAAAGGCAAAGTTTTTGTACTTTAAAAACACAATTGAATTAGAGGCAGACCAAGAAAACACAAAACCCAAGTTACTAATTTTAGAAATGGGCTTTTCATTAAAAATAAACCTTTTACAGTCCATGTTCCTATTGACATAAAAGAATTTCCTCAAACTTTTTTCTCTACACTGCAAACTTTGCTATCATTACTTTGAAACTAAGTTATCACTATCTTCTGCCTCCACAGAAAGATTACTAGATTGCACCTGCTTAGAAAGAATCCTATCAAACTTGGTCCTTTCTGGTTCCGCTAGCATGGCATTATATGAGACATTCTTGCTGCTCCTCAGGGAGAAAAAAAGAGAACGTGCAGAACAAGATCCCTAAATGTGTTACAACCACGACACAAGCAGATGGCTGCATTTGTTTAATATGTTGTTTCTCACATTCTTCTGTTTACTTTTCCTGTCACATGAAAGTTGTGTATGTGGGGTGTCAAAGAGAAAAGCCAAACAGTGTTTCAGTAAATCCCAGCTCTTTCCCTAGCATGGCACCCGCTCCTATTCATGCTTTAACCTGCCAATACTCAACAGCCTAGACCTGCAGACAGAATTACATACACTTCCATATTACACTCTGATTCATTCCCCAATTCATTAACTCTTAGACATGATCTGGAAAGTAAACTTGGACATGCACTAGCTCACATGGTGGAGAGAGACATGGCCAGATAGAGCTGTACATGCTGAGAAAGGAGGCAGAGTGCAATTTGAGCAATTAAGCTGGAAGTAAGGGTAAAGTACCACAAGCTCAGCCCTGCAGTACAGCAGAACTCAGCCCAGCCTGGGGAGGAACTCTGAAGTATCCCTGAAAGTCATCAATAAAGAGCAGAGGGTGTTTTCAGAATCGGGTGCAGATTTTAAGTAATCATTATTGTTTAAAAAATGCCAGCTATGTTTCATAGGCCTTTGAACTCAATCCTCTTGTATCACATAAATTCTGCTTTCCTACAAGGAACCACTAAAGAAAATCCAAACTCAAGCTGATTAATTCAGTGGTATGTTGGAGAAGCTGTACCAAAAAAAAAAAAGACTCAAAACAGAGAGAAAGCCAAGCAAAGCAGATGGGAGGTCTCAAAGCCAAGATGAGAGCACCAGTCCAGTACATCCACAGGTTACCCTTCCACTGCCTGTGCCCTCTCGCCCAGCCCCTCTGCTCCCTGAGCATTGCCTCCCCCTGCCAGCCCAGGCTGGCTCTCAGCCCACTTGTGACAAGTTCTCGTCCCCAGGAGCCCTCTGGGTTCCCCCAGCCCACAGGACAGTGCTCAGCCCTCCCTGGGCAGCAGCTGAGCCAGTCCTGGCAGAGCCAGAGGCTGCCCTCGGATGCTGCCAGGGAGGGAGCCCAGCCCTGGCTGGCAGAGTGGCCCAGCCAGGAACTCTCCATGTGGCACCAGCACACGCTGCTCGGCACCAAAGCCATGGCCCAAGGCAGCTGCTTTCATTTGTTCCACTCCTCGGAGCCGGGCTGGTATCCCGAACCCACCCAAATGCCTTTGTGCTTGCTCACTCCCAATCCAGCCACGGAGCCTCCTGCTGTCCCACAGCTCCAACCACCCACATCCCTGCCCTGACTCCTGACCAGGTTAAACCAGGACCTGAGTGCCCTAACCTTCATCCACAGCATGTGGATCACAGCATGTGGATCACCCTACTGCCTCCTCCTCCTCCTCACACTCTGTGCAGCTGCTCTAGCAATAAAGCTCTCCCAGGGGTGATCCCTCACCGTTTTACTCCTTATTGCCCTGTTTGGGATTAGCAGACCAAATGTCTGCTGGAGACTGCAGTTACACAAACACAGGAGGTCAAGCTCAGTGTCCCAAGCACTTTTTTGACACTAAACCCCACCAACCCTCCAAGGGTTAACAAACCCACTCGATTCGAAAAGGAATTAACTTTCATCCCTGCTCGGTGCAGAAGATCTCAGCCCACTGACACTAAACGCAAGTTTACGGAGCCCCGGAGACAAAAGGAGGGGGAATGCACTGAAGCTGGACAACAACAAAGGATTTCCAGCCCTGCTCTGAGCTGCCCAAAAGTGAGCCCTGTGACAGCAGCGAGAGGAAAAGAGAGTGACCAGCTGAGAAGTGAAAGCCCAGCGAGTCCCTGTCTTTGACAGGCAGCAGCAGCGGGGCTCCGGCGGCTCCGTGTTTTTAAGGCTGGGTGTTTTTTCCTCTGCTCTCTGGCAGAGGGGGATCTATTACATTTAATAAGAGAAAGGCTACACAGCAAGTCACTAACGGAGTGTTACACATCTATCAGGAGAGTACGGCAAAGGGAGCCTTTTGCAAGGTCTGATTTTATTTTTCCTCCATATTCCCCCCCTCCCTCTAATTCTTTTATTTTAAAAAAAATAAAAAAGCAATAAATAACGTGAGCTGCCTGTAACAGTCTATAAACCTACCACCCAGCACAAGGCACAGAGAAAAGAGGCAAATCAAAGTTGCAGCATTTGATACGACAGAAAATATTGCCGCTGCAGCTGCAACCGAGACACTTGAAAGATTCCCCCTGCCACCCTTCCTGAAGGGAAACAAAAAAATGCTATATATCACACGGCAAATTGGTTGTAATTGTAAATCAGGGAACTATGAGATCCTGCATTCCTAGCAACTGGCTTAGAGCAGAGATCCTGCATCTTTAAACAGTAATTCAAGCAATGTATAATTACTCAGAAATCAGAGCTGAATTGCAAATACTTTCAAATCCAAATGCACAAAAGCAGAAAGATGAAAGAAAGCAAGGAAAAAACCCACACATTTCTTACCTGGGACAGCAGAAAAGACAGAGTAAGTTGAGTTTTGTGCTGCATTTTGCCAGACTAGAAGGTACCAGAGGCTTTTTCATTCATGCACTCGGCTGCACTGAGCATATTTTCACTGTGAAACAGCCTTTGAGAAGAGACTCTGCCTTGAGAGCCAGCCAACTTCCCAAATAGATCAGCAGCATCATCACTAAAGCATTGGATAGAGTCTGATGACCAGAACCAATGGCTTTACAAGGATGATTTCTTCACAAAGCATCCCCATTTTGCATCACACATATTGAGCAAGCACCTCTACAAACACAGCACCTTCAGAAAGCATTTTTGCTTTGGTGTATTTCTGTTTAGTTTCCACCTAACATCATGCTTTACATATCTCAATAGTATTTTCCCTTTTACAGAATGGAATTGAACAGAGATAAATAAGAGCAACTCTGAGCACCACTGCAAAGAGATTCTCTTTATTAAAATGTTAATAAGGTAAACTTATTTTTAATAATTCAAAAAAATGACCTCTGCAGTTTTGGTTACTTCCAAGCCTTAGAAGGAGAACACAGAGAGATTTTTCAGTGCAGCAGAAATATAGGTTATATTTTGTGTTTTCCCCTCAATCTCACAAATCACAACCAAGACAGATCCATTCTAGCCTGCAGAAAAAATGCATCATAAGGCAATAGATTTTATTAACTGCTCAGGTAATGGCAGAATTTAATTTTAATTAAACAAACTAGAATCCAGGACAGAGTCTCAAAGGTGCATGTCCTTCAATTAGAAAAACTTTTCCTGTTTGAAAGAGGGGACCTGCTTTCTCTGGATTGGTTATGTTGCAGCCCAGCAAGCAACACAGGCAGATGGACCAAAGATTAGGATTGAATTCCCCTGAGTGCATTTCCAACTCCACCTCCTTTGCCACTCCCCAGTATCACAACACTCCAGTCCTTTTCTGAGTTGCCTCCTGGCAGTCACCAAGGTTACTTAGCAGTACCCTTCCCCCATTTCTAGAAGGATCAAAAGTCTCCTCAGCTCTCATCAGTGATGTTTTTCCCTCACTTGCTCATCCAGCAGAACCAGCTGCCATCACTTTCTGCTCTGCCCCACCACGGGTGGCTGCTGTGCTGGTGGAGATGAGAGGAAACATGGGGAGGGAAAGGCAGGTAGCAGATAGAAGGGATAAAGGAGCTGCCAGCCACTTTGAGCTCCCCAGCATCAGCAGGAGCTCCCAGCTGTGAATAATGTTGTTTGATGCAACCACTGCTAGTCTACTGCTCAGAGCTTACATCTTCCTTTACATACCACTGGACCAAAACTGAGGGAAAACACTGTCTTCCAAGTCTAAACCCTCACAGGCAGCAATAACTCTGTCCCAGTACCTCCATTACACATGAGTTTAAATTAACACTCAAGTTGGAATACAATCCAAACAAAACCTAGAAGGAACTACCAGCAGAAATAATAATGCTCTACATAACCACAAAAGGTTCACTACTTAGACATAAAAAGGGAAAAAAGCAGGTAGGTTGCTTTCTTTTTCTTTTTTAGGCATAGGCAGAAAGCCAGTTTAGCAGGGTAAAAAAGAAAAACCTTAGAGCTCTATGACTAGAAATACATGACTGGCCACCTCCCACTTCTCTTTCAGGGAGTCAGTTTGCCACCAAATATAATTCCCAGCCTCAAGAGGAGCACCTAGGAATTTATAAGCCAGGCTGGGCAGGGTTTATAGGGCAAATCCCACAGAGAACAGCACCAGCCATTCCACAGTGTGCACAGCCTTTGTATGGGGGCACTGGGATTTGGACATTCTTAATCCCACCACAGGTGCCAAACAGCTGAGTGAGTTACCAGACCCACCAGAAGTAGGTGGTGGCTGAAAGAAACAAAGGCATATCTGCATCCTGTTTTACAGGAAAGAGACTCATTTAAAAAAAAAAAAAAAATAGAAGTCGAGTCATAGGGTAGATGATTCACTGCAGGATAATGTGACATGAGATTTGAGCCAACATGAGCAGTTATTTTCTGTACAAGGCACAACCAGGCTATGGGGCCATCCCAGCACAGGGGCAGAGAGGGGAACAAGGAGGGTGAGGTGTTCCCAATGGTCCTGCAGGAGCATGGCCAGCAGGGGCAGAGAGGGGAACAAGGAGGGTGAGGTTTTCCCAATGGTCCTGCAGGAGCATGGCCAGCAGGGGCAGAGAGGGGAACAAGGAGGGTGAGGTTTTCCCAATGGTCCTGCAGGAGCATGGCCATCCCTACAGCCACGGCACCCCTCCACATCGTGGCACAGGGCAGGACTTGCTTCCCCAAAGGACTCTCCCAGCCAAAAGAAGCCATATACCACAGCCCTTTACCTCCAGAATGAGCCAAGACCCTCTAGCAACAATTAAGGAGAAAATCATTTAATAAAAACCAAATTCACCAACCTTTTGCCTCCAGTTCCACAGAGCTTCTTCCTCCTGTTGCAGCCCGTCCCTCCTGCTCTGGCCTCTACTCACAGATGCTCTTACTTATCCCCTAAAAGGCAACTATTGATTCCTGGAAGGGTGATAACCATTCCTACAGGAGTAATTAAGCATTCCTGGAGGAATAATTAACCATTCCTGGGGGGGTTGACCCTTCACAAGCCACTGCCAAGGCCTAGCACAACATGGCGCCCAAGCCCATCCCTCCTGCTTTGGCCTCTACTCACAGATGCTCTTACTTATCCCCTAAAAGAGCAACTATTGATTCCTGGAGGGGTGATAACCATTCCTACAGGAGTAATTAAGCATTCCTGGAGGAATAATTAACCATTCCTGGGGAGTTAACCCTTCACAAACCACTGCCAAGGCCTGGCACAAAATGGCGCCAAAGCGTGAGGGCAGCTGTGCCCAAGTGTGAGGGCAGCAGCGCCCAAGTGTGAGGGCGGCTGTGCCTACCGGCAGCGCTCACCCTCACCCTCAGGGCCCAGCCACGCTGGGAAATGGTTTTTTGGCACTGCTCACCTGAGGGAATTCCAGCACACACAGCCCTGGCTGCTGGGGACCCCAGCAGAGAGGAGGGCAGCTGCTGCAATCGGGTGTTTGACCCCGTGCAGGTGGGCCCCTAGCCTAGCTGTGTCTTCTGGGGTTAGGCGCAGAGTCTTCTCTGCTAATTAGCTGATTAATGAAGAGCCGGTAGGTTATTAATTAGAAATTCATAGTTGGTACCTCTGTCTCAGCTAGGTAATGGGAGGAGGTTTAAACTCTACAGAGCTTTACTGAGGAGCTGGACAGGAGGCAAGAGTGCAGGTGGTGGAGGGTGGGCTCTCTCTAAACCCCAGCTTGGGGCAATATGGCTTCACAAATGAAATAAAGCTGAGGTTCCACGGAGCAACAGTAATAGAAATAACAGCCTCAGGTTTAAAGCATAGTTAATGAGAGGGTCCAGACCTCCCCTTTTACAGTGAGCTGTGTTTGCTTCTCGCCAACACAAAATGTGTAGTAAGCTCAGGCAGTGAGTGAGAGGGTCCTGGCTTGTGACAAAGAAAGCTCCTGCCAAGACCTTTTCTGATTCAAAACCATGCTAACTGATGGGTGTAATATGGTCTGTAGTCTTTAGACACAAAATGCCATCTTCTTCACTTATAAAATGTGGAGCAACTTGACACGTCAGCTCAGTCCCTCTCCCTGACATTCTCTGGCCACAGGGGCCAATGCTGAGCTAATGTGAACAGTAGTAATTGCCTGCAACACACGAGGAGTTTTCAGAGACAGACCCATTAGCAGATGAGGGAGTGACTGCATGCTGCCAGAAATGCCTTTTGACCTTCAGAAGATTTGCCCTATTTTGTAAAAGCTGAGTATCAGCTGCTATGAATGTATCAGAACAAGGGAATTTTAATTTCTCTTTAAAGTGGGTCACATGAGAAACCTGGATGTGAGAGAGAGGGACTAATTTCCCCTGCCATGGTACTGGTGATCTACACTCCTGGCTGCTTCACCAGGTTGCATTTTCTTTAAGCCTGGGAAAAGGTTTTAGCCCTGGGCAACAACTGAGGGTGTGACAGTAGGACAAGAAGTTGTAGTAAATGTACCTGGATTGAGCTGGACTCCACAGAGGAGTGAAATCCCATTTTCCTGCCTGAGGTTTCCAGCAGGAATAAGTGAGGCCAATGGCTGCAATAATGTTTTATTCTGGGGGACAGATACTCAGAATTTCCAGTCTTAGTGCAGCTGAAGTTTCTTTGGGAAATATTTACAAAACTAGAAAAAGGGGGTTGCAGTTTGAATTTCAGCCCACAGCTTTTCATTTTGTACCCAACCCAAGGCCTCTATAATACCCCAAACTCCTACAAGACTTTCTTACATGAAGGACCTATTGGCAACAGAAAGTTTTGTTCAGCTTTCTCTAAAACCTGTGGGACTTCTGGATGCTTTGTCTACTGTTTCCCTACATCCCAGCCCAAGCTCTGGGATAGTAGAAGGGTTTTGTTTTCATACTTGCTAACAGGCAAGTCACAGGCAACACAACAAACTGATATTTCAGTGGAAAGAAGTAGGGTGTGTTCCATTGTCAGAACAAGACTAAAAATGGTTAGTCAAACAGGAATTTTACATTTTAGAAAAATCCTTAAGGGACCATCACACCCTTTTCTGTACAAGTAATAAAAATAATAATAATAATCAAAGTAATCCCTGTTCTTGTGAACACAATTTTTCAGTTCCTATAAGAATAAAACCTATTGTTGTTTGGGTTTTGCATGTTTTTGGATCCCTGAGCCCTTTAAGCATAAACAAAATTTGTGTTAAACTTCTAAAACCAAATTTTTGTAAATCATTCTAGAGTAACACTTTGCAGCAGTGTACATCTAAATTTCTAACCTTTACTTGAACCAGAAGCAAACTGTTCCTTAATTCAAACTTCATCTGAACCAAGATAGGAAAGGAGTGAGATGAGTCTTAGGTATGGGGTGGGTTGGGTTGTCCACAGCATCTTCTCTGTGGAAAAAAAGTTTGGTTTTATTTCCTTTCTCTCTCTGGGCCCCTTTGTGGAAGAAGCTCTTGCTCCTCAGCTGACTTCCAGCATCTCAGAGTTTCCTGGAATAATGCAGGTTTTATCCCATGCCTGCTATGAA